CAGGCGTGTGGCACGGGCCCAGCAGAGCACACTCTGTCACATCCAATTGCCTAATTAGAACTGAGCAAGAGGGAGTGCATGCAGCTCGCTGCCACCGCGGCCCGGCTGCCCACCCTTTGCTGACCCGCAGCCGGTCCGGCGCTGTGGCTTGCCCTCTGCCGCATGTCAGAGGCAGAGACAGGGAAGGACGGCTGCTGCTGTCCCTGGGGGACCTGCCTTCGTTAGCCAGCACCCCTCGGGCACGCAGGAGGGGAGCACGGAGGGGTCAGGGCACACAGGCTGATTTTTAGCAGCGTCGAACGTAAGAGCCACTGTTTGGAGTTGACAGGAGGGGGCTGGGAGCTGCTTAGATCACGTCTGGTCCTGCTGCAACCCCTTGTGCAGAGCAGGAGGGAGCTGGGGGGGATTTATTGTCTCTGGGGATTGTAGCACATCTGCCAGGGAGAGATGATCGCTGAAGAAGTGCTGCGGCTATTCAGTATGTTACCACTATCTAATTCGGCGCTTGCAGAAGGTGCAAATTGCATTACCCCTCGGCGCGGGCGGCCCTGCAAGCGATCGCAGCAGCCAGCTCCCGGCCCACGGGGCACATGCGTGGTTCTTCTGGGGCTGGGAAGCACGGGGGGAGCACCCGGTGAGGTTTGCTCCCCGTTCTGGCTTGGACAGTGGGGTAGCAGCTCCTTGGGAAGCACATGGCAAGCAAAGGAGCCGGGCAAGGGAGCCAGTGCAGATCTTGACCTTTTCCTCCCAGCTTACTGGGACACCAGGAAAGGGGGGCTTCCCGTGGAGGTGTCCACCGTGGAGGTCAGCCACAGGGACCCCGTCTATGGAGCCATCTGGTTGCAGTCCAAAACGGGCACCGAGTGCTTCTCAGCCTCCACTGACGGGCAGGTAAGGGGCAGGGGCAGGGAGGGTGCCAGGCACACACACGGGGGCCACACTGGCAGGCACTGATGGCCCAAAAGAGCTTCCCCTGCCTGCACTGCCCCTCGCAGCCATGGCAGCACGGGAACCAGGCCCCCAGACCTGGCTCCGGGACGCTCGGCTCCCCAGTGCCCACAGCTGAGCAGGGAGCAGCCCCTGCCCTGCAGCTCCCTCCCGCTGCTTGTCCCGTGCAGGTCCTGTGGTGGGACATCCGCAAGCTGTCCGAGCCCACCGAGACGCTGGTCCTGGACATCACCCGGAAAGGGCTTCTGGAAAACGCTCTGGGTGCTGTCGCGCTGGAGTTCGAGCCCACCATGGTGAGCCTCCCTGCCCTGCCCTTGGGGTCGCCCTGCCTGCACACAACCAGTGTCCCCACCTGGGCAGGAGCATGAGCCCTGCCGAACCGAGCTGAACCCCTGCGGGCAGGGCTCCGGGGGCACGGCACAAGCGTCTGATCCCCAGCGTGACCCAGAGCACCGTGCTGCAGCTTGCAGTGTGTTTTCATCCATCTTTAAGAATTAGAAATTGATGTTCTCCCAAAACACAGGGTCTCGCTGCCATTTCAGTCTCTAAATCCCCCAGATCAAGGCGGGTCCCAGGGCTCCGCTCTCCCCAGGCGCTGGCTGCAGCGGGCTCCATCCTGCTCCGACAGCAAAGCCCTTTGCTGCCCCACTGCCCCCTGCACCGTGGGGTCCCCAGCCCGCTGACGGCTGCTCTCTCCTGCTCCCACCCTCAGCCCACCAAGTTCATGGTGGGCACAGAGCAGGGCATCGTCATCGCCTGCAACCGCAAGGCCAAAACACCCCCCGAAAAAATCACCAGCACCTACAGCGGCCACCACGGACCTGTCTACGCGCTGGCCAGGAACCCTTTCTACCCCAAAATCTTCCTGACAGTCGGCGACTGGACTGCTCGAATCTGGTCGGAGGAGAACAAGGAATCATCAATTATGTGGACCAAGTAGGTGTCGGTGTGTCTTTGCCCTGTAAAAAAGTCTGC